ACCCTCAGCTAATTTAAAGAGCTGGCAACCACCTCACACACCACCCCCCCACCACCTATGGCTGGCGGGGGAATTCTGGGAATTGAAGTCCACATGTCTTAAAATGGCTAAGGTTGAGAAACACTGATCTATAGGGTAAACAAAGTAGTGTGCAATTAATAGAATTGGAAAAATAGCTCTTCTAGAGTGTTAGAAACCTGAAAATCAAGCACAGAATTTTATAAATTTTAATTATATTTGTTTGCTTTAAAAAAAGTGTCACATTTACTTAACCTTATGTTTCCAATAACATTTGTCTTCCTTATTCTCATAGAGGAGTTGAGAAAATTGCAAGAGCAGATGAAAAAATTACAGGAACAGTTACGTATGACAGTGATAGGAAAGCCAGCTGATTCTGATCCTTGCAAGAAAACATCGGGTAACTGTGTTTTTCCTTATTGACAACTCTGCTTTCAAACATACAATCTACTATTTCATCCTGTGGACATTCTTGGTAACCCTGAGCAACTTGCTAAGATTATATGGACACCAGCATTCGTTAGAGTATTTTAAATGTTAGCAATATTTTGCCATCTTTTATAAATTTGAAATTCAGTACATCTGTTGTGGAGGAATTGTGATGATTAGGATCAGAATGGGGGACAAGTAGTGTCCCCCCCAGAAGAGAAGTCATGTCTACACTAGCCAGACTTGGCACACTCAATGTTCTTGCTTTAAAACTAGCATAAAAGAAGTTATATTGTATATGAGAGGGAAGGATGGCTTGAGTACCTCATTGATTCATCAGCCACTCAAATTAATTTGTTTTGAGTGATGGTGCATTTCCAAGATGGGATAATTACATTTAAAATTTGCATATTCCAAATCTTCTGTTTCTTGTCCTCACCAGGGACATGATCTTGTTTAGGGTTAAAGCAAAGCAAGGGGAAAATGTTGAGCTCCAAATGTGAAACTCAGTTGCACTTAAAGCAAGAATGGTGAAGATATGCTAAGTGTAAATATTGTTTTGTAGAAATGAGAAGAGCAACAAAACCAGGGTATTCTTCCTCTTGATACCAAACATTAGCTTTTTTTTCTTCTCCAACCTAGTTCATTCAATTTCTCTTCCTCTTGGAAGATAATTTTTTGTTTGTAGGGTTGTACAAATGCAAATTGCAACAAAATCCAATATGTGTTTTGCAGTGTGGGGAACTTTTCAGCATAGCAGTCGTTAGTCGTGCTAATTCCTTATATTATTATCCAGTAACCCATTATGGTTGCAATTTCTAAAAAAAAAAAGCATGCTTATTAATCCTGAGTTCCGTATTTCTTCCATTTAAACTACTGTAGAGTCTTTTTTTTTCCTTCCTTTTTTTAATGAACTAAATACAAAAACGAAAGAAAAAGAATACCCAAAATTATAACAGAAGAAAAAGAAAGAAAACTAAAAAAAAAGAAACAAAACAATACATTCACAGACAGGCAGGCCTGTGTAAAGTCGTACATTAAACATTTTGGTAAATTGAAGCCATAATTCATTACAGTCATCCAAAGCTAATCTATACTGATCAATTCTGCAGACCACTAAATAGTTGGAGCCATATTTTTGTCTTTTCAGTGCCAAAAATACATCTTTTGGTTGTACGTGAGGTACAGAAAATCCATTTTCTTTGTCCAGTTGCCAATTCCTATGTGATCGGCTTCCAAAGAATATAAACATCTGAAAAATTAAATCTCAAATTTGAATGAAAGCACCTAATAACTTCTTTCCCAAATGGAAAAATGTATTTAAATAAAGCTTTAATTTTACTGCACCTCCGACAACATATGCCATCTCGCCCTTGAGTGAGATGGGCAGTGACTGAATTTGAAATATAAAATAAATAAATAAATAAATTTACTCAGGCCTTTTCTATATAAATGTACCGAGGCTGTTTCTGAGATATTTCTTTTTGAAAACATGAGTCTTTAATATATTCTTTGATTTCTTGATCAGGTAAATCAACTGCTGCTGTTATTAAGGAAAGGACTCTTTCAAAAGTTCAAGAATGTCCATCTTTTTCTGCCCAGCTGAACTGTCCAGTTTTACCGTTGTCCAAAAGTCATTGCCCGAAGCCCAAACCTACCATTGCAGGTATATCCCTTCCCCTTGATTTCTGATGTAGTATAAAGTTTTGTAAAATCTGTTTCTTTCATATCTTTGAAAATGGGAGGACATGTTTCTTAAGGCAATGGCTTCACAGCTTGGGAGTTTTGCAGGGATAAAGTAAAATGCAAATAGGACTTGTGCAGATTTGCATAATTCTGCATCTGGAACTTAAGAGTGTTTTGTGCACAGTCATAAAGACAAATTGCACTCCTGTCAGCTTGCTCTCTCTTGCTGAAAGGAGAAGGTAAATCAATGCAACTTGTTCATGCTGAGTTATTTATTCATCTTTGTTCTCTGGCTATCAGCTCCTTTTGTTATTTTTTAGAAAAATAACTGTTATTTTCGGGGGGGGGGGAAATGTCCTACAGGTGTAATCGACAGTGGCTGATTTGCAGTTTTATTCCCCTGGGAAAAATT